CTCCTCCATTTAGAAAACTACACCAACATGGGCGGCGGCAACGGGAAAAGGGCTGGTGCCGCACCTGGCGCACAGCAAGCGTTCGGTACCTCCGGGGAAGGATGAAACCCCACGGTATTTGCAACCCTGCTATCCCCGGCCTGCTTCCCCTTCACTCTCCACAGCAACCACTCTAGGTTTCTTCCACGTGTTGTTTTTTATTTTTTCTTTCTTTCCCCCAGCTCCAAGTTCCACGCTGTTTTCTCAAGAGCTCTCCCCAGAAAACCTCCACCCTCACTGCCTTTGTCCGCCTCACTCTGTAAGTCTCCATTTACACACTGTTGCCTTGGGGAGCTTTACCGGACCCTCGCTGAGGTTAAAACTCCTTGCTCTACAATCCCTTAGCACCCTGTAGCTCCTCTGTGACAGTATTCAAAATACATGTCAGCGCATATTTAAAATCCGCCATCCCTTGACGGTAAGCTAGATAAACACACCACCACGCGCAGCGCCCTCAGCACAAAGCCAGGGGTACCACTGCTCACTAAGCGTCCGTGCACTGAACTGGAGGTTTCCTTCCCAAAATGAATGAATGAGCACACGCTTTGGAGCAAAAATCCTTCTCTTAAAAGATGCAATTCTTTCAGGAATCAGAAAATCCAAGGTCAAGTAGGCCCCCCCCACCCCATCTTTAAGGCTATGGTATTTATTTGGCCTCACAGCACATTGAGTAGGCCTAGCCTTTTCTGAAGCACACACTGAGAGTCTTTCCCGAGCAGGTTACAAAGAGCTCATATTTCATACCATTCAGCTTGTCTGTCAAAATGCAACATCCCTCCCTGGGGAGCTAGCTGTCCAATTCCCCAGCTGGTTTTTATTCACACTAGAAACTTTAACTCCGTTCTAGGCCTCACAAAATGAGAGCTGTGTCCACACAAAGCCCCAACAACCAGCCGATTCACTGAATCCAATGAAATAAGCCAATTCACTGGGGGGGGACACAAACTGTCAAACTGGTTACTTGGTGCCTTATAGACCAAACAATGCGTGATTGAATTGGTTTGCTTTTTCAATAGGTTGTCTTGTCATGTGGTAGCTACAGTGAGTGAAAGATTTTCTTTATCATTCTGTTGTCTTTTTTTTTTTTAAACACAAAGATAAGAGCACATCAGATAGAAGGGTGAATAGCCAATAATGTCTTGTCTTTAAATCCATGGTCAAACACACTAAATTCAGCAACTTGAGCTTGCCCAAAAGGCACATTTTGTGGACCAAGACTCCCAGCCTGTGGTTTCTTTTTTTTTTTTTTCTTTTTTTTTTTTGGTTTTAAAATAAGACCCTGCCGGTCCTGATCTCATCTTTGCAAACGCATGATACTGTGAGACAGAGACCATGTGCAACACCAACTCTTTACAGACAAAGCGTCTATTCATGGGCCCCACTGAAGTGCAATCGTAGATTTTCAATTTCATTCAGCTGAGTGCGGAAGGCTCCCACTATGAGGGTGGGTTGCTAAATGGTTCAGCTGGGAAAAGGACCCAGAATGACAGTCAGCCTTACAGTCTTCACTTTCATTAACAGAAATGAAAGCGATTCCCTCACTCCAACTCCAATTTTACAGTAAAGAGCTAATCTAGCAAATCGGCCAAGGGAAGCTGAGCAATTTCTCTTTCTCCACATCACATCGGTACCCAGAGCACAGCTTTTTGTTGTTGTTGTTAGGGCTGTTGCTAGGGCAAGTGCTGAGAAAGCAGCTGAGTAACACACAGGGTTAAAACTTACACAAAAGGGAGGGACGATGTTGGTCCCTCAAGCCCTCAGCTAGACCAGACCAGCACTCTCCTCTCCTTGAATACGACATGCACATTTTCACCTTCAAGCTGTTCCTCACCTCTGCCACTTCTTCGGTTCTACCCACTCTTCAAGGTCTAGTTAAATAACACTGCCATACCTAACACCTGTCCGAGATGCAGTATGCTGAGTGTTTCAAGTGCAAAACCTCATTCCGTTTCTCACCACCACATGAGGAAGGTGCCACTATGTTCTCCCTTTCTGCCGAAGGGATATGGCAGGTGAATCACGTGCCCCAAGTCCCAGTGAGGAAGCGGAGGAGTCGGGATTTGGCTTTAGGCCCTCGATCCCGAGCTCCTAATCACTACACACGCTACACTACCTTCACCGCCCCCAGCGGTGGGATTTCCACTCTGCCTCCACACAGCGCCCCCTGGGCACACCACCTATTTCCAGTAGTTGTGGAGGTCTCGCTGCCTCCACTGGGAGCCACCGTCTGGGCAAGAAGGATCCGTGCCATTTCCCCAGTGGTGTCTAGCATTCTGGCACCCGGGAGGTACTAACTGTATCTTCCATGACGGACTGGCTCTCCCCACACGTCAAATAAATACTGTATTGCCGTGTCACGCCAATAAAAATCAGAAGCCAAATCCCCCACGTAGGGGTTGGCTTGGCATTCTCTGTCCTATGGTATCTTGCTTTTCCAGTAAGACAAGTGTCAGTCTGCTTTCTTAAGGCAGCAATTTTAATAGGAGGTTTGCCCGAACGAACGGGGAAGAGAATGAAGGCTGATCTCTGGATTAGGGTGACAAAGCAACTACACTCATTTCAAAGCACCATTTTCCGAGGCAGGAAAAGACAGTTTCACCTTTTACTCACACTTTCCAAAGGATACTCCTGAACTGGCTTCTGGCACGCTATGGCTCTTGGGCCAGAGGTGTCATTTTTATTTGACTTGAAGAGGTGTGGCCCGCATAACTAAGACGGGAAGTTAATCACTTCTTGCATGCTGACCCAGCAACCCAGGGTAAGGAAGTTCTAGGTTAGGAAGTGCTCTTTAAAAACAGGGTCCCCAGGGGCGCCTGGGTGGCGCAGTCGGTTAAGCGTCCGACTTCAGCCAGGTCACGATCTCGCGGTCAGTGAGTTCGAGCCCCGCGTCAGGCTCTGGGCTGATGGCTCGGAGCCTGGAGCCTGTTTCCGATTCTGTGTCTCCCTCTCTCTCTGCCCCTCCCCCATTCATGCTCTGTCTCTCTCTGTCCCAAAAATAAATAAACGTTGAAAAAAAAAAATTTAAAAAAAAAAATAATAAAAAAATAAAAACAGGGTCCCCAGCCGTCTTCGGCTGAGCCTAACGTGTGCGCTCTTTAAAGCACGGTCTGTTTGGGAATCTGTCTTAAAAACATTATCTTCAACAAGTGTTAAAAATGTAGTTAGAAGTCAGAAGATCAGTTACAACTCAGTGTGCTATTATGCCACCTTCCTAATCCTAATTCCCAGGTGTGCAAACACCCCCACAAATTAAGACTGCCAGCATTCAGATAAGCTATTCTGGTAACAGTCTTCATCAGGAGTGGAGGAGGAAGAGAAGAAAGTCAAAACGTTAAAATGTTTGGATTCCAGGATCATTAAACAGGAGAGCTTTGAGGAAATACTGGGAGGCAGGTGAGGCTAACTTCAGACTTCATAAATACGAAAGGTTTTCAATGGGTCTGCCCATTACTAACCCTTGGAGGACAAAATATTGAAGGCAGATGAAGGAATCCAAGAGAAAAAACAAGGGGAAATCAAATAGGAGAATGCCTATGATATTTATTAATGTTCAGTTCGGGGCGGGCGGGGGGGGGGGGGGGGGGGGAGGACAGAACACACAACAATGCTGCCCTGCCCTTTCTAAAATTACACAGGTGAGGAAATTCTGGAAACTCCAGCCAATGGTGACTGGGAACCACTGTGTATGCTATGAGGGAACACAAAATGAAGGTGCGCTCCCTGTGAGGGCCATGGAACCATGTTCCTCCACCTGCAAGGGCCCTCCTAACCAGTAAGAGCTGCAGAACTAGCCTCCGGGTGGTACTTACTTTACAACAGAATTGTCAACTCTAGATCCTTCTGATTTGGTACGTCTTGTAATAACATAAGTTTTTGGCATCCTTTCTTCCAAAGTTCCCTGAAATGTTTTCAGACAAGTGACTTTGTTCTCTGCTGCTTCATGGTAGGGAGAGGAGGAAAAGCTTTCAATGCAGAGAAATCCTCATTCTGTATGTCGCAAGGCTGGTCGTGGGCTAGCATATAACACACTTTTATTGTCCTGTCTCACCAAGATGTCTTTCTTTAAAAAAACAGAGGGTTTCCCTCTGCTCTAAATGGGGGGAAAAAAAAGAAAAATCTGGGAAATACCTTTTCTATCTCAAATCTTAAGCCCAAGGAGACAGGGCACTCTACTTTGTAAACCACAATTTGAAACAAGATAAAGAGGATTCACCTGCTGCTGTTTCCTCTCCATCTGATGGCAGGCCTGACACTCATAACACACGCGGTTTACTTTCTTTCTCTTCTCCCCATCCTGCTTTGGTCCCTAAATAAAACCTGAAGCCGTCACAGCAACTCACTTAAAATAATGCAGCTGGAGGGCACTCCAATCTCACAAATATGGGACAGGTTTATAACTCACAGTGGCAAGTTACTTCTTACTTTTCACTTACGTAAAGACCCTTCACTCATTCGCATATGCAAACAAAATAATCATCCAATTTTTCCTAATCTAAGATGCAGCAACCTTACGGGTCAGTGAGGGGAAAAAGGAGCTTTTAAGAGGCATATGGATGAAATGTTTGTCTAGCAGTCAGAGACTGAGCATGCAATTTTAAATTCTGGTGTTCACATAAAGGAAGAGCAAGCATATCGTCACTGGCTTGGCTACCTGTCAGGACACCGACAAGTTCTACACGATCTGCTCATTTTGGAATTACCTAACTCTTATTCTGGACAAAGACAACTCAAACTCAGGCTGTCTATCCAAGGTCCTTACTACTCCAGAGCTGCCAGTGGTAGCAATCTGAGACACTGCCTACTTTTTTATACCAAGTCAGAGAGTAAATGCACACACCGACCAATTTTTTTTTAACCAGAATAAGCTGTCCTTGAAAAATCATCATCGTCATCAACAGTCAGCTCTCACCCAGACACTGTGCAAGCCACTCCTATGATTCATTCCTAAACTGGTGTCTTACCTTAGTGTTCCTCCGTAGACTGCGAAGAATATTCCTCCTCCTTGGGTCTTCGTCTGTTTCATATGGAATGACGGCATTGTCCCCTTTATAACCTTGAGACGCCTGATCCTCCTCTTTTTTCCGAATGGGCCCTAGCTCATCATCGCTCCCCACACTGAAGCTGGTTCGATAACTAGCAAACCTTCCTAGCCGGCTGCATCTCGTCCTGTACAGCACGGGCTTGCTCACGATGGACACCTTGCGGCCTCGCTCTAGAGAGCTGGTGTCCATTTCACTGTCGGAACCGTTGCCACTGCCGTTGGACTGGGCTTTGTTGATATTCCGAATGGTGATGATTTTGCCTTGGGTGCTGTCATGGGGCACTGAATATATGTTTTCTTCTTCGTTCCTTGGCTTGACCACAGCATCCATGGGTTCAGCATAATCAGAAGGATCAAACCCATCCGGAGGTAGCCAGGTGCTAGAAGACACAGACTTCCTCTGCCCATCTCTATGGCCTTGGTCTAAATAAGACAGATCCCCCTTTGTGATTTCAAAATGGACAGGAGGCTTTGGTTTGACTGGTGGAGGTACTTTGTTGTTCAGTTTACTCTCAAAATTGCTCATGATGAACGACAGCCCATCATTTCCCTCCAGTTCCATAGAGAGCTTAGAATGGTCTTTGGACAGAGAGGGCAGTGACGTGTCTTCTCGAAACAAGCTATAAGAAGGGGGCTCGATATCCTCTTCTGAATCCTGCAGGTTGGAGTTGCAGAGTGGAGAGCCCGCTCGGGGGGAGTTAAACACCTCTTCCGTGGTGCTACAGGCCTCGGCAGCGTTATCGTACATATGAGTAGCCTCGATTATGTTCTTTTTATCCACCACATCCTTAAAAAATGGGTGGAAGATCTCAAGTTTGTGCTGGGGTTGGCTACAAGGGATGCTTGTGAACCTCCCGTCAATCTCTTGAGCAATCTCCTCCCCTTCGGTCAGCTGTTCCCGACTTAAGTCATTGTCCAGGACATCTACAGCGCCGTCAGTGAGTGCGACCAACTGAATGGGGATAATATCCTGCACTTCACAAAGAAAGGCACGCAACATAGCCAAGGAGGCCTTACGTTTGGCTGAATAAAAAACAATGTACCCATGGACCAACCGGCTTTTTCTGATGCTAAATGAGGAATGGTACGAAAGAATAGACAGCTCAATGCGCTTCTTGTGGAGTCCGATCGGTAGTTCAAGTAAAACAGAGTTGTTGCTTCCACAATGGGAAGACTTACAGGTCTGGGACTGAAGGACAGGATAGAGTATGTCATCTGCACTGAAAGGATCTCCACACATCAGACACATGACAATTCGCAGGTCAACGTCAGCCAGATCTTTGATGCTAGCAGTAGAACTGACCAGGTTTAAGTTACGCTTGGAGTCCAGGAGTCCCTTCAAAACTTGACTGATTTGCTTTTCATTAATGTTGCGTCCATAACCGATGCCAGCAGAAGCAGGGTCGAGAAAGACACACTGAAGTTTGCTAGCAATCTGCTGACCTTGTTGTATTAGGCTATGCAGGGTCTCTCCACTGGTGTCTCCTCTCTTGTTAACTAAGATCAACGTCAGGGGAAGATGGGCTAAATGGTTATCTCGCCTGCCAAGTGTGGACTCTCTACTCTTCTCTATACTCTCCACCACATAGGATAGAGATTCCTTTGAATTGTAAAGGCAGAGGCAGCCGTGGGGCTGAAATGTTGGCGTTTGGAAAGAGTTCACAGGAAGCCTGACATTCCCTTCTATCGGCCTCAGGGAAAGCTCATACATTTTACCATCTATCACATACTTATCATCATTTGTACAGAGAGCTCGAATCTCATTGGCCAACTCACGTGCAAGGCCATCTTTGCCTAAGATAACCAAGTTGATCCTATCAATGTTGGGGTCAGACAGTGAATTTTTCTGATTCCGGTCAGATGGTCGGATAAACCGAGAACTAATCAAGTGCTCGATCTTAGCATCCACACAAGCTGGGCAGCTAGGGCACGTTTCCTTGGTTGGGTGATACACAAAATGAATGTGCTTCAGGATAAGGGCATCACGCTCTGCTTGGAGCTTCTGTAATGCTTTAAATCGCTGTTCCTCCCCCAGAACATCCTGAATGACACCCATCTTCTCCTTGCTGGGCTTAGCATCCAGCTCCAGCTCATAAAACAACTCTGAATATTCCAAAAGCAGCTCCTGAAACTCTTCCTTTGCTCTGTCTATAATTTGCTTTTGGTGTTTGCCATAAATATCCATGTATACGGATTCTTCCAGCCACTGGTAGAAATCTTCGTTCATAATAAAACTACGGGCCTCTTCCCAAGGCTTTCCGGGAGTTATGAAGGGAGAGGTCTCCAGGTTTTCTTTAAATGCCCTTCTCATCTCAGCTCTTTTCCTCTCGTTCCGCAGCTTCTCTAAGTGGGCCTCGTACAGCTGCTCGGCAGGGACGGTATCCATCAAGTCAAAGGGAATCCGCTCATTCTCCATGTTGTCAATGTGGCTGGTGGCATCCCACGGTGTCTCTTCGAGCACAACAAACCACTTCAGGAATTCTGGCTTGGTCTCCAAGAGCTTTTTGGTTTTTATGCAGCTTAGGTGGTCTATTTCATCTAAATTGGGTATAAGAGCTTCAAAGGCTAACGGCAGGGCTGCGAGGTACAGCTTTCTCCTGCGCTCAATGTGCTCGTGCTTGAGGCGGTGGATGTGCTGGAGAAACAGCTTCTTGGCTTTCTGAGTACCTTCCAGGTAGACATAGTCCTGGTACTCAGGAGAGGCCTGCATCTTTCGGCTGACACTCGGCCAATTCTCGTTGTGGTTTTTGACAATGCGACTCACCAGCCACTCATACTTGTCTTTTGCTGTAGCTATCTGCTGACTCTGCTGCTTGAGAGCTTCAAAATAAGGAATGATTTTCGTCTTTCCCCGACTTTTATCAATGAGTTGCACTAAGGTGCTGAAAGCCAAGTCCACGTTTACGTTGGATCTTGCTGAGGTCTCCACAACCTGGAGGTTCTTTTTGCTTAAGGCAAAAGTATGTGCATCTCTAATGTACCGCTCAACGCCCTCATCACACTTAGTCAGGACCACCACTATGGGCTTTTTTGTTTTTGCAAGCTGATTGTAGAGATTGGACACAAACTTGAGCTGGTCATCAAAGTTCCTATTCATGCCCCTGCTAACGTCAATACCAAGAAGAAAACCATCAATCAGCAGCTTTCCATCTGGCATTTGTTTCTGCTCAAAGTCCTGCTCCAGCCCCAGCTGGTCAGTGCAAAAGTACATGAGTTTTTCAGCTGATGCGAGCTTGGTTGCAGCAGCTCTCTTGATATAGGGCTGCAGGGCCGTGCTTCGATGAGGTTGAAAAGTCTGATCATCGATGAACTCAGTCTGCTCCACAATGTGCATCTTACATTCCACACAATCCTCCAGGGAACGGCTAACTTCTCCCCAGTAGAGAAAGTGGTCATTATTGACCACTCGCCCGCCAAAGTCACTGGTGCTGAGGACAGAGGTATGGTCCAAGTGAAACTCATCAGCACTCGGGCGCACGAAGCGGTTGCACAGGCAAGACTTCCCAATGCCGCACTGGCCCTTCTCCTTCTCGGTCCCAGACAATCCCACCACACTGATGTTGTAGGTGGGAATGCGGACATCTTGCTTTCTTGCCATCATCATCGTCGACACATCCTGCCACAATCGGCCACTTCCAAGATCAGATTAGTGTTTTCCAGTGGACCTGATGGTTTCCCCACATTATCAGTGGGGGCCAGCTGCCCACGAGGTGAAAGTGTCAGGTCCCATAGTGTTTGTACACCAGCACGAGGTCAGTTTTCACCACTTCTCATCGCCAGATAGTAAACATTTCTTCCTAGACGGGGGCGGGAGGAGAAAGAAAACCCATCAGCATCATAATTTTGGAACCTGATTTTAGTCGCTGAACTATAGCAAAAATCAATTTTCTCGTTCAACAAATACGTAAATACTAAATGTGCCAGGCCTCACGCTGAGTGAAGATGTAAGAGTAAGACTGACATCTATGTGCTCTCAATACCTCTAACAGAGGAAGACATACAAGTAAGCAGTTGTGCTGAGTGTTAAAACAAGAGTTTGAGGGCTTCTTGGAAACATGGCTGATACCAGGGTTAGAGCAGAGTTAGTACAAGAAGAGCCTGGAACATCCTATTGTGCAGGAAAGGAAGTGCTTGAAAAAATGACAGGGAACCTCACAGACACAGGAGCCCACTTGAAGGGGATCCCACTGGTCAAATCTGAAACAATTTGAGCATCAAAATAATTAAAGACAGTAATGGATTATAACCCACTGCCAAAAACAGAAACCTGAGTTCATACTACTGGATCAGACAAGAATCATCACTTGATACCCCATCTGGGGGGAAGATTTTGATGAGACTCAGGATATCTGCACAGACCTGAGGTACCTCCTGATATGCTACTTATCAGCTGCAGAGGGAAGAGGTACCAAAAACCACTAATTATACAGTAAAGAAACTGCCTTAACACTTTGTTAAAAAAAATTTTTTTTTTAATTTTTTTTTTTCAACGTTTTTTATTTATTTTTGGGACAGAGAGAGACAGAGCATGAACGGGGGAGGGGCAGAGAGAGAGGGAGACACAGAATCGGAAACAGGCTCCAGGCTCCGAGCCATCAGCCCAGAGCCTGACGCGGGGCTCGAACTCACGGACCGCGAGATCGTGACCTGGCTGAAGTCGGACGCTTAACCGACTGCGCCACCCAGGCGCCCCCCCAAAAATTTTTTTTAATCTTTATTTATTTTTGAAAGAGAGACAGAGTGCAAGTGGGGGAGGAACAGAGAGAGAGAGGGAGACACAGAATCCGAAGCAGGTCCCAGGCTCCGGGCTGTCAGCACAGAATCCAACGCGGGGCTTGAACTAATGAACTGCGAGTCGGACGCTTAAACAACTGAGCCACCCAGGTACCCTGGGTTAACACTTTGGGTAATGAAAATTATCACCACCAAAGAGGGACAGAAGGACATCATGGGCCTCCAGATGTGGTACCCCCAAGAGGACACATTACTAAGCGGTGTGATGACCTAGAATGTATTCCCTCAACTGAATCACAAGGAAACATCAGATAAACAAAAAACGAGCGAGATTCTATTATGGGGGTTGGGCGGGGGGATGTACTGCACACTCTATACTTCTCAAAAAGTATCCATGTCATAAAAGACAAAGAATGGCTATGTAAACATTCTAGATCAAGAGAAGCTAAAGAGACATCATAACTAAATGCAATTGTTTGAACCTAGAATGGATTCTGCACCAGAATGGGAAATACAGGACATTATTAAGTCATTTAACAACACTGGACTCTGAACGGAATATTACATAGAAGTATTTGATCGATGTAAATTTAGGAAGGTAACTACCATGTAAGCGAATAGGCCTACTCTTATAAAATACACACTGAAGTATTTGGGGGGAAAACACCATAATGTGTGTGACTGGTCCAGAAAAAAATATGTATATATGTTGAAAGAAAGAATGCGCATGCGGTAAAATGTTAACAACAGGTAAATCTGGATAAGATATTCCTTTGTGCCATTTTAATTTTTTTGCAACTTTCTATAAATTTGTAATTGTTTCCAAATAAAAAGCATTTTTAAAAAGGTGTGAATATTGGGTGGTTTCCCTGACGAGAACAGAATAAGCTTTGTGAGGACAAGGTCCACCCCTTCTCGTTTACTTCTGTATCCTCAGCCTATGACACGGTGCTTGACACGAAGATTTACTGAAGGAATGAGTCAGGGAATGACTATGAGGGCATATTACACCCAGTGTTTTGATTGAGGAAGGCCTTTCTGGAGGAAGTTCCACCTCAGGAGAAACCTGAAGTAGGTGAAAGAAACACGGAGACTCGTCTCTGCAGAAAAAGGCACGGCCCCTCGAGTGTGTGTGGGGAGCAGATGGGTGAGATGCATTAGAAGCAGAAATCAGATTAAACCTCTTTCAAAGAGTCTGCAGTCTTTCCCGAAGGCTATGGGGAACCACAGAACGTGGCTGAAAGGTGGCACCTTAAAGGACCTAAAGTAGGAAGAGGTGAAGTAATGAAACATTATGATAGTATCTTACGATGTCTTTAGCAACCTCCTGGTTAACAGAAATCAAATACATAGGCCTCGGCTGTCTCCACATAAATGGTCTTCTGGCTACTACTGCTTATACTGCACTGCCGTCTACTCACACGTGCAAATATGACCATGCGACGGCCGAACACGTAGCCAAATGAACAGTCTCCTGAGATAACTCAGTTTAAAATAAAGAGAACAGGGGCGCCTGGGTGGCTCGGTCGGTTAAGCGGCCGACTTCGGCTCAGGTCACGATCTCGAGGTCCATGAGTTCGAGCCCCGCATCGGGCTCTGTGCTGACAGCTCAGAGCCCGGAGCCTGTTTCAGATTCTGTGTCTCCCTCTCTCTCTGACCCTCCCCCGTTCATGCTCTGTCTCTCTCTGTCTCAAAAATAAATAAACGTTAAAAAAAATAAAAAAAAATAAAGAGAACAATTTTCTTTTGAATCTCGGTCATGGCTGGTAGGAACCCAGCATCTCCACAACCTGAATATATTTTTGTGAGCCCTTCTCCTAAGAGATGCCACGGGAAGTCACATCACCATACTTTATTCTAAGAAGAGGGGGTGATGAATGAGAGAGGAAAGTTGTCCCCTATGATGATAACCTCAAAAGGTCACAGACCTTTCCCAAACATCCCTTATCTTCCCTCGATAACCGAGAAAGCCAAACCCTCTGTGGAAACAAAACGTGCCTACGTGTGGTATGTAAAAATGATTTGACCATTGTCAAGACGGAAATCTCGATGATTATAAGCAATCACCTCCAGATAACCTAATGGCATGCTCCTAAAGAAGCCAAGGTCCAGATTTCAGCAGAAACAAGCAGACATCGGGGCGCCTGGGTGGCGCAGTCGGTTAAGCGTCCGACTTCAGCCAGGTCACGATCTCACGGTCCGTGAGTTCGAGCCCCGCGTCAGGCTCTGGGCTGATGGCTCGGAGCCTGGAGCCTGTTTCCGATTCTGTGTCTCCCTCTCTCTCTGCCCCTCCCCCGTTCATGCTCTGTCTCTGTCTGTCCCATAAATAAATAAAAACGTTGAAAAAAAAAATTAAAAAAAAAAAAAAAAACAAGCAGACATCCATGTGAAAGATGGATCCCCATCCTCCACTTCCCCAGGCAACTGCTTCCTTAGGTAAAATTGTAAGATGTTTACATACATCCTCTGAAATACCCAAATAGCAAAGATTCATACGAAATCACAGTGCTTTTGCTTATTACTTGTAGTACACATATACACAATTTTGTTTCCACCTCTCGGAAGACTCAGGTTTGACAGAGCCTCAGATAGGAATGCTGATGAAAGTGTAAGTCAGGGGTGCTCCTGTCACAGAGCCCTTCTCCGTCAATTCCCCATCCCAGAGTCTGGCAGGACTCAAGGCCACCTACTTGATCAATCCTGAAATGCAACTTGGTGACGGGGTCCCACTTCAAGTGACTGCTGCACGCAGCTGGCAAATCATCCCCCTTATTCTCTGTAAAGTGGGTCGAATAAGCTCTCTCTTCACAAAAATCCCAGGAAAACAAAACACCAAACCTGTTCTTGAACCTCAAGAAATAGAGACGCCAGCTCAACTTTGAACTAAGCTAAAATGTATTCTCCAAACCTTGTTTGGTCAGTTTCTTCAGCGCATGATATTCTGTGCCGCCCATGCAAGTCAACGTCTCCGCTATCTGAAGGACGCCAAAGACAGAAAGCAACAACTCTCGACTCTCAAGAACGTAGCAACTCATATTTGAAACCCAGAATGCTGCTGACTACACTAAAAAAGCTACCAAACAATGAGAATCAGCTGGCAAAGGAATGGTTAATTTGGGGACACCTGGTAACTTTCCACTTGGTAGAAATCGAATAGGTTCCCCGGTAGAAGCACACTCTTCTTACATGCCTGTCTTTGATGTCTGGATAATGCAGTTTTACTAGTTCCTCAATTGGACTGAATTACACGGTAAACAAAGACTGTTATAAATCTAAGAACGCTGCAAACACTTGGTTTAAAGGAAATAACTCGAAGTGCTTGGTCACAAACACGTTCAACTTTTCTAAGAGGTGGATTAAAAAAAATTAGCTGAGTCACTAAATTTAATGATCTTAAGGCCACAAAGAAAGAGAAAGTAGAAGATGGGGCATGTCCGAGACTTTGCAATATCTTTAGTTTACATCTGATAGGAACCGGTGTTCTTAGTGGGCCACCAACTCCTCAAACGGCAAAATCCAAATGTCCATTCTAATAATTTGCCAATATTAGTCCTTTGAAAACTGAAGAGTTACAGCAGAGGGGGAGAAAGTATTCTTTAAACTGAAACGACTTCTATCTTCAAGCTTTAGACAGCTAGTTGTATTAGAAAAACTAAACCCTAATATTTAGTAGTTTTACACCACAAGTCAACTCCTTCAAAAAGGAAAATACTTCAGGGGCACCTGGGTGGCTCAGTCGGTCGGGCGTCCGACTTCAGCGCAGGTCGTGATCTCACGGTCTGTGAGTTTGAGCCCCGCATCGGGCTCTGTGATGACAGCTCAGAGCCTGGAGCCTGCTTCAGATTCTGTGTGTCTCTCTCTAACCCTCTC